AAAAAGAATCTGCACATTTGATGAGGAAAATGGTGAGCGCGTTGGCAGATCCAGTTTTAAAGGAAAGGTTTAAAATACCTATGTCAAGAATACAGTCCTAAGCATTTTATGTACAAAACCATTACTCTGATTAATTTATCAAGTAAAAACAATTTATTATACAGGTCAACACCATTTGTCCCACTTTAAAGCATCACTATAGATATATTTCGAGGAACAAAACTGTACCTGAAAAATTCTTAAGCCTTTTCTCTACAAGGCTGAAGAACTAACTACACAGGATTCCAAATGGTCCAAGGGAAAGTGGTTCTGTAATTTATTGAAGTACTAACATGTAGTGGACTCAAATAATATGCATATAGTAACATATCAACATGGCTTACAAAATCACATCGCCATTTCCTGTACTCAAGTTTTTTTCTTCAGCTTGGCTATAAACATTGGGCCCCAAGCTTTGCCCTTTTCAGGAATCACCAAAAGACTGCATTTCTGGTCAGTGGGGGCAAATGTGAAGTCTTGGGAGCAAGTCCTTGCGATTCCACTAATATCCACAGGCACGACGGTACTGCTGGAGGTCAAGATCTCACTGACCACATCCTGATTTTCAGCCTTGGAAAGTGTGCATGTAGAGTACACGAGGAGCCCTCCAGGCCGTAAGGCTTTAATTGCAGACCTGTGGGTAATGGGAAAATGAAGAGGTGAGTTAGGTACAACAAGGAAAGTAGGGGACTGGAGTCAAGGAGCTCACATACCAGCCCTGCTCTGCCTCAGGCTGCAGTAACTGGTGGCCGTCTGACCCTAGACATAGTTCGTTCGCACCCTAGTCATAGTTTATCACTGATGCCTGGGAAATAGTCACCAGATGACTCAAGATGGAAACGTCAGAGAAAGTGAATTTGGTTGATGGTTTGTTCTTCTAAGAGAAGGAAGAAGGGGGCAGAACACAGATAATATTTTTTAAGTCACGGAAGTAAAACAGAAAGCAAGGATGCTAATTGAAAACAGACATAATAAATTACTGGTTACACTCTATAAACCGCAAGTTGGGCTATCAGGTAGAAATCAGAAGGTATTCATCTGAGAAAAAGGGATAAGTAATTTGTAGAGACATAAGGTAGCTGCTGTGGGCTGTGAAACCAAAGACCTTGGACTCGACCTTAAAGGGGTCCTCTAGAGTAAGAGCCAGCTACCCACATTGTAATGTTAGCGCTGTACTTTAAAAGGATGCTCTAGAATAGGAGCCAGCTTCCCACAGTGTGATATTAGCAGAAAAAGCTCCCACCCTTACAATAAACCTCCTGTACATTGTTGTTTCATTACAGACTGAAAAGGTATGACCAAGGATTCCCAGGAAATGATTAATCAATATATAAGAAAAAGAACACAAACAGCAAAAATGTGGCCTAGAAAGAAACTGACAATTCAATTCAGGGAACAAAATATGACACACTAAACACAGAAAGATCAGCAAAGATGGATCACTCATAAAAGAGCAACATCGTAAGAGAACAGCAAGAAGATAGCTCACACAAACCGAAAAAGCACACTATCTCTGACGACAAGTGTTCAGCCCTAAAGACATACACATACAAGTAACAATGAGTACACTAAGGAGTTTGTACTGTTAAATTTAGGAACACACACATATGTAAGAACAACTAAGAAAAAGAAGCCATGAACTTGAGAGAGAGCTAGGCATGGTACATGAGAGGAAGGAAAGGGAAGGAGGAAATGATGTAATTATATTAATCTCAAAATAATTTTAAAAATTTCCACTCCCTCCAATAGGAGAGTAGAGGGAGGGGAAATGGAGGTCAGGATGTAATAGAGAAGACTACATTTACAAAAATAAAAACTAAGCCGGGCGGTGGTGGCGCACACCTTTAATCCCAGCACTCGGGAGGCAGAGCCAGGCAGATCTCTGTGAGTTCGAGGCCAGCCTGGGCTACCAAGTGAGTCCCAGGAAAGGCGCAAAGCTACACAGAGAAACCCTGTCTCGAAAAACCAAAAAAAAATTAAAAAAAAATAAAATAAATAAAAATAAAAAATAAAAACTATAAAAAATAACACATCCAGAGACCTGAGGAGGGGGGACCTTTATTTTCACAAATATCATATTCTCACGATTGTTTCAGAGAGATCAACTATGACAAAGTATACCATTGACTGCACAGTGCCCCTTAGACCTTAGACCTTTACAATGATGTGTAAACACACACTGTCTCTGCATGGGACTGAGTTTGGAAACAGGCTCTTTAATGAGATAATTCAGTTAAAATCCAATCACTGGAGAGGAGGCACTAATCCAATTTCGCTGATATCATTATAGGAGGAAATTCAGACAGAGTTACAGAGAAAGGAACTTGTAAGCCACAGGAAAAGAAGGTCTGTGACCATGGAGGGAGGGGCTCAGAAGAAGTCAGTCCTAGCAGTGTGTCTGGGACCTGCAGCCTGTCAGCTGTCGGAGATGAACTACTTCGTCAGCTACTGTCAGGGGCACTTGGCCATGGTGGTCAAGGCAAACTCACAGAAAGTACATGTACACACATAAATCTACATGCACGAACATGTAAGAATATGTGAGTCTGTATGTATTTTTATTTCTTGTGTAAATTAGTGGCAGGTACCATGAAGATACACCTAAATCAAGATAAAAAGATTAGGAGCAATTGACCAGCGGGGAATTGTAACTTTAAGTAAGGCTAAATTGAGTAACAATGGAACCAAGCCGATGGGTGACAGATACACAGTCTATACAGTAGGAATAGCCAGGAAAAAATCCCAGGGGAATGGCCAAGGAAAGAGGACAGATGTATGGCTAAAGGCAGGGGAGAGACAAAGGATATCATGAGATCAGAGAGTCGGAGGTGCAGAGGGGCCTGTGAATGCTTGGTAAACTTCACCTTACACATTTGCACTGAAACACATCGTTGCTAAAGTTTAAAATGGCGAGAAAAAAGAGAAGATATTCATCCCCTCCAGAAGGAAAAATGGACACCAATAAACGGGTGGTTTCAGCATTCAGAAATTGGCCTGCAACAGTGGATGTCAAGTGAGTCCATCTGCAGCTGACCCACCAAATAAATGTGCCGGAAGAATACAGAAACTCACGGAGATTAGATGGCTCCGAAATTCTTCCTCTAGCAAACTGAAGAGGTGAGTCAAGGAGGAGCAACAGAACCCATAAAAGAGTAAATACAGCATAGAACGGTGAAGGGCAGGAAGCCTCAGAGCAAGAGCAGTGTGTGAGGTTTGGAGGGAAGGAAGCCTCTTCAGGCGGCAAGGAGAGGGAGGTTTCCAGAAAGAATGACTGACAGGTAAGAAAAACCTACAGACCTGCCATGCACAGCTGGGAAAGAGAAAGTTCGAGGCTCCCATCTGATTTGGTTTCAGGAAAATTCCTTAGTGGTACTCCTGTGATAAAACTGAACTAACAGAAATAGAAATTATATTTTAGCACATTACCCAAGGAAACAATATTTATAGAGTTAAACAACATATACCTGCTGTGGATATCATTCTATATAAATAAAACACTGATGGCCAGTGACCAGGCAAGAAATAGGTTGCCAGGCAGGAAGTAGGTGGGACAAGGAGGGAGGAGAATTCTGGGAAGCGGAAGGCTGAGGGGAGAGACACTGCAGCCACCGCCAGGACAAGCAGCATGTGAAGACTCTGGTAAGCCACCAGCCACGTGACAAGCTATAGATTTATAAAATGGGTTAATTTAAGATAAAAGAACAGTTAGCAAGAAGCCTGCCACGGCCATACAGTTTATAAGTGATATAAGCGTCTGAGTGATTATTTTATAAGTGGATTGTGGGACTGCGGGGCTTGGGGAACCTGGAGAGAAGCCCTCCAGCAACATATACCCTTTATGGATCTTCAATATTCAGAGCCACTCCATGACGGATAGTAGTAATGTCTTCGATAGTAGATAAAACCTCAGAAGGAACACTACCAAGGTTGACAACCACGAAAATGAAAACACCATCAAAGGGTACTGAGAAGTGAATGAGAGGGAGACATGCATGGCAGGGTCTGATAGGAATTCCAACCACGCCCCATGGTCCTGCATGCCCGGTGGGACACTTAGTCATCTCAGCCTAGTCATTTGCAGGTCATAGGTCTTGCGTGACCCATGCCCCATGGTTACTCAGACATGACCGCATGATCTCTGCATGTGAGCCTGTGTGTGCAGGTGCATGCAGCCGCCGCCATGACCAGAGACACTGCAGCCGCCGCCATGATCAGCAGCATGTGAAGACGCCAGTAAGCCACCAGCCACATGGCAAGGTATAGATGTATGGAAATGGATCAATTTAAGATAAAAGCACAGTTAGCAAGATAAGGACAGTTAGCAGGAAGCCTGCCACGGCCATGCAGTTTGTAAGCAAAATAAGTCTCTGTGTTTACTTGGTTGGGTCTGAGCGGCTGTGGGACTGGCGGGTGACAGAGATTTGTCCTGACTGTGGGCAAGGCGGAAAACTCTAGCAACAGGTGCATCCTGGCTTTTATAAGGCAGTGCCATGTCTGTGTCCGTCCGTGTCATGTCCGTCCCCCATCTCTCTCTCCCTTCCTCCCCCCCCCCCCCCCGCCCCCGGCCCCCAATAAAGCTCTAAAAGGTACCAGTGGGTTCTGTCGTGACCTTTCCACACGTTAACCAGCGCCAGCAACCAGCGCTGTTTTCCTTTCAGGGTGAGCATACAAATACACTTATTTGAGAGAGAGAGAGAGAGAGAGAGAGAGAGAGAGAGAGAGAGAGAGATAGAGAGAGAGATATGGAGATGGAGGTCTAAGAGCTGGCTAGGAAGAAATGGGTAATTTGGGGTGCGGGTGTGCTCCACTCATTATAAAGCCCAGTCTGTGCAATCAGTAGTCACAGATGACCAAGGACACAGGGTGTAGTGTAGGGTCATGAACATGAGATGAATACCAGCAGCAGGCTAGGAGTCAGTGCCTAAAAGCTAGAAAAGAAAAACAAATTCTTTAGAGAGCTGGGGATGCTCTATAGAGATTTGGTAGTGATCTGGAGAAGAAATTAAGAACAGAAATATGTGAAAGTCATTGCCTCTGAAAATAGGAAAGGAGAAGAAAGCAACATTTTATATACTCAGTTATATTTCAAGATTTCTACCTCTATGGTTAATTTTTTTTTTTTTTAAATAATCCTCTTCTTTTTTTTTTTTTTTTTTTTTATTTTCGAGACAGGGTTTCTCTGCGTAGCTTTGCGCCTTTCCTGGAGCTCACTTGGTAGCCCAGGCTGGCCTCGAACTCACAGAGATCTGCCTGGCTCTGCCTCCCGAGTGCTGGGATTAAAGGCGTGCGCCACCAACGCCCGGCTTTATGGTTAATTTTTATGCTAATACAAATAATAGGGGAGATTTAACAGTAGGATAAGTACCTATGTGAAAAAGTCATTTTCACATGGTCATTGTTTTATATACATTCTGGTTGTTAGGGGAAAACTTAATCTCCAGATAGTCTATGCCCTGAAATCCCAGACAGCTAACATTTTCTAGTATGTAAAATTTCTAGACTTCCCATGTATTCCTTTGCTGAATAAAATTTATGTCTAGGCATATTTGGTTTATTTAAATGACAAACAGCAGTAGCAAATGGCAAGAAGGACTTGATGGGAATCTATAACATTTTGCCTAAGGTTGTGAGATT